CACAACCCAAATTCAAAACCGGGATGTCGAGAAATAAGTGGCGTATCACTGAACGGCTTCTGGGATAACGGACCTCTTCGAAACCTGGCGTTTTGGGTACTGCTTAGAAATGTATATATTCCTGTTCTTAGGGTGGATTGATGATGGCGATCAACTTGCTTCGTCTAATCTAATCCATGTTCCCACGATGTCAAGGCCGTATCGAGGTCAGACCACTCTCTCTCGGACAGTTAATACCGAGGCTGGAGAGCGCTCCAGTTTCTGCACCCACGGGATGGCCAGCGCAGAGCCAGTTATACATTGCCGAGCGCGTGGAAATCCATAAATCCTGCAAATCCCGGAGACTCTCCTGAATGTCCTGAACGATTACTGCGAAGCGGCTGGTGCGTGGTGATTCTGCAGAAGAAGCTGGTGAAGGCATTGAGAGATCCTGCCAACGCCAAGTCACGAATGATATAGCTCTTGTACGTCCTCCCCCGCTTATACTTCACGTCCGTCTCACGCCCGTACTCGAGCCAATGCGCTCAATGCGAGTGCGAACATCTTTGACGCACTTTCTGAGATTGACTCCAAGTTCGCCAAATTGCGGACAAAGAGTATGACGGATCAGCACCGAGGTGAAGAAGTGGTTCAGAAACTTGCGGTGCGCTATCTCCCCTCCTTCCCACGCTATGGCTCAACGAGAGCACAGAAAGAGGAGAAACCCACGACGATCGCATCACCAATGCCAACGCGAGGATAAAGCAAGCTGGTATGTCTGGGATTGGCTCTTCGTGCGACTGGAGGCTGATTGTCGCTCTCAGGTCAGGTATATGAGAGAAATCGAAGAAGAATCCCCGTGAAGCCGCTGAGGAGCATGCGCGGTATATGAATCTCATCAGTACTCTTGGACCCGAAATATCGCAAGAGAAATAGCAGGTCCATCTACTTGTAATGTCGATCCCGCTGACCTTCTTCGCAGCAACCACGCCTTTGAAGTCACCCAGAGACACACGATTGCGACATACTCGGTTGCTGCATGTGCTTCCCGAGTCGCTGATGCAGAATGGCTGCGGACTTGCGAAGGAGTGCGGCGGTTTTCGCCCACGATCGTCCGTTGGGGAATGGCGTGCGTTATGCGAGGGAGGCTGGACTGGGAGACACCCCCGGATCTGATAGACCCATATCCCGACGATCTACTAGCCAACCCTGAACCGGAAAGTGTGACCAGATGCGCAACGTCGATCGCTCAGAGGCACCAGTTCCCATCGGCCATGGCTGAGCGGGGGCAGACTCCATCCCCAATCATTCCGCGGCCGACACTCGCCCATCTCCAGCACGCACCGCCTTCGTCATTTGACCCGCCTCGACCGTTGGTTGATCCGTATTCCGGTTCGGTCAGGTCTCTTTCGGCGTTCCCCTCTCCTCCGACGCATTTCCCTATCCCACCTCGACAGCCGCAGTCTCAACAAGCGTCTACTTCTTCATCGAGCTCTAATGCCAATTTCCCTGCTCCCAGCCCCGTGCTCGAGCTTGAACGACAAGCGGAAGAGCCGTTCTATGCCTCCTTCGCCGAGTGACACAGAGGCCCAGGCAGCTGTCCAGACTCCGCCCGCTGCAGATGCCAAGCTTGTTAGCGACCTGAAGCCCATTCCTGAAGGCGCTGACGCTCCACAAAATGTGGACATCTCGACTACGCGACAGATTGAAATTCAGCGGCCCGTTCCTGTGCGATCGCAGACTGCGCTGCCAAATCTGGAGCGGATATCGTCGCCGGTTACATCCGGATCGGTCACCCCGAAAGCTTATGCAACTGCCAGAGGAGACTACCTCCCTCCGGGAGACGAGCGTCAAGATACACTGCGCTCACTCCCGGTTTGCAGAGAAGCGACACGGTCTCAGTTCGGGGAGCGCTGCTAACTCGATCCGAAACCGATATACTACGACAGTAAGCTGCTGAGCTTCGCTGTTCCCTTGCGGATACTCATACGTTGCTGTTTTTGCAGTCCGGTGCGACTTCGCCACCCCCGAAGGATATGCCTCGCCTGCCGTTGAGCGTCAGCGATCTGGCCACGCGCTATCAGTCCGTCGAGTCTGCACCTGGGTCTCCGAAATCGGCACTGCCCCCGACACCTACACGGCAAGCAGTCAGATCACCAGGTCCATCATCCCGAGCTGCTGCCGAGGAGGAAGCCATGCGCCGAAGGACTCAGTTGGAGCGCGAGTTTGCGGCAAAAGAAAGGGAGATTGCCCTCAAGGCGCAGGAGCTAGAAATGGAACGGGCCCAGCTGCGCAATCTGCAGCCCAGAGAGCGTAGAGAAAGCGAGTCCAGTGTGTCGAGTCCCAAACTGCGGCCGCGTGAACGAAAGACGTCGTTCAGGAACTCACCTCTACCTCGGCCACATTCGCAAATGGAAACCCGCCAGCCATCAGGCCAACTTGGCGCAGGGCACGCCCATTCCTACAGCACGACCCATCTTGTTCCGCCTGTGGGCCCCCAGTCGCCGTCATCGCCCCGCTCGTCGACCTCTTCGGCAGACGGTGGGATCAACGGACACGCCCCCTCGTGTGGGTGCGAAAAGTGTTCGATCGTGCACTACAAGTCCCCGTCAGGACGGACGGTGTCACCTTACGACTTGCGCCCGCCCGAGAAACCGTTCGCTCTCCGGCCTGAAAAGCCCAAGGGCTGGATCCGACGCCTGAGCATGCCGGTGACCGCGTTTACCTCTGACAAGAAAAATGTGGTTTCGTCTCCGAAGATGTATTCCCTCGATGCAAGCAAGCGCAGCAGTGCCACTGCTCTGAGGGGGGTGGACGAGCTCGGAATCTCCCGACGTAGCTACGATGCTAGTGCCATTAGCAACCGGAGCGTCACGAGTTTGGTAGGGGGGCTTCGACGGTGAGGACGACTGTATTGAAGTAATGCTGCCATCTATAATATCTTACTGTAAACGTACACACTCTCGCTCACGAATATCATGATCGTTTTATGCCCATTGTCACGCCGTGACCCTGTCTTTACACCCTGTATTGAATATCACGGACGGCATAATCTATTCATTTTGAACACCCATATTGATCTCGTTGGGCGCCTCTGAAATCGATTAGAGCTTCTTTGACGCCCCTGGCTGTTAAACACACACGCCCGTGTCAAAGTGGGACGACTTTGTTGGGCCTGCATCTGGACCGTCATGGGCAAGTTCACGGAACCTATCAACGGTAACGCCACTGCCGGGCAATCCGACGATGCCCTCCAAGACCAGACGATCGTACAAACGCGCGGGTATCAGCAAGAGATGCTTGAAGAGAGTCTCAGACGCAATGTGATCATCGCGCTGGGAACGGGGGCAGGGAAGACACACATCGCCGTGCTCAGGATGAAGATCGCGATCGAACGCGAACCCAAGAAGGTGACGCGATCTGCGCTCTGTGCTGGAGGATGATGTTGACTCTGAGACAGGTTGCATGGTTCATGGCTCCAACGGTTGCGTTGTGTGAACAGGTGAGCGGCATCTCTTCCGGGGCAAGAGAAGCATCTTCGAATTTTTACAGCAATACCGTGTCATTCGAGAATGCATCCCCGCGCCAGTAGCCTATGTGACCGGTTCGAATGAACCCGAGCAGTGGAAAGACGCTCAACTCTGGGAGTCCATCATCAGCACGCATAGAGTCGTGGTGACGACACCCCAGATCCTGCTCGATGCGCTGTACCACGCGTTCATCATTCTAGGGCGAGATATCTCTCCTAGTCTTCGATGAGGCGCATCATGCAGTATCCCAGCATCCGTATAACCAGATCATGGGCACGTTCTATGCTAATTGTCTCGAGGCCACTAAACCAACGGTTATGGGGCTGACTGCGAGCCCGATTTACGGCGGGAACGTCGCGCAATCGCTGAGGTGTGTAGTTGCTCGTGGCATCCGACTCGTTGATGATATAGTGGCAGGGCGATCGAGCACAACCTGCGCAGTACCGTCTGCGCTCCTCGCGAAAACAAAGAAGAGCTGGCGCGTCACGTTTATCGACCAGTCTTCAAGCATGTGCTATACCACTACGTGCCGGACAACTTTTCGACAAATCTGGCCGCGTTTGATACGGTTTACGACGCGATGGACATTGAGAATGATCCCTATGTCATTTCTCTGCGCGGAAAACTGGTCGGATGACGCGAGGGACGCCGGACTACCAGCGGACTGATCAGCAACTGTCGAAGGCCAAGTCGAAGAAAAAGACCTTCGCGCACGACAACATGAAAGATATTTCGACTATCGGCGCAGCTTTATGCCAGGATATCGGGCCATGGGCTGCCGACTGGTATGTTTTCCAGGCGGTGGACCAGGCCCTGGGGACGGTCGCCACTCCGTTCGGCGGTGGATACAACAAGGACAAGCAATATCTTCTTGATCTCCTCAACCAGGTTGTTCTGTCCCCTGTTTCTTATGGCGACATTGACATTCTCGAAGAATCGTCCGAAAAAGTACGGGCGCTAGTCGACTGCTTGCTGGCTGAGAAAGCCGAAGCCGAGTCGCACAATCAGGTGTTCAGCGGCCTGATCTTTGTTGAGCGCAGAGAAGCTGTGCTGGCCCTGGCGGAACTGCTTTCACATCATCCGGCGACGCGGGATCTGTTCCAAGTGGGGTGTCTCGTCGGAGGCTCGGACACGACATACCACAATCTCGTCGTTGACATCACCAAGCCGCTCAGCAAAGCGCAGTCGGCGACACTGTCTCATTTCCGTGCGGGGACCAAGAATCTGATCATCTCGACATCGGTCGCTGAGGAGGGAATCGACATCCAGGCTTGTGGGTGTGTGATCCGATGGGATCCCCCACGGAATATGGCGAGCTGGGCGCAGAGCCGTGGCCGGGCGAGGCGCGAGCGGAGCACATTCACGTTGATGTTTGCAGAGGACGGGACCGACCGTGCTTCTGTGAGAGAATGGGAGATCCTTGAGCAAGAGATGATAGCCCAATATGACGATCCGTCGAGACAAGCTGGACGTGTTGCCGCAGTAAGCAATGACGACGACGACGACGACGACGAGATGCTGGAGTTCAGGATTGAGAGCACTGGGTGAGGACTGTTCTCATTGTCCCCCTTGCCCCTTACACCTTTGACGCGATCGTCCTCAGTGCTGTGCTCGATTTGAACTCAGCGATACCCCATCTGAACTACTTTTGTGCGGTGATACCCAATGCTAGTCACGCAGACTTCAAGCCCATATACGACCTGGATCCGCCAGAATTCCCTGAAGGCTGGCACTCGTTTGCAAAGCATTCCACCTCCACCGCGATCGAATCTTACCCCGGCCCATTTGGCGCCCACCTTACGCTTCCCAGACTCCTCCCTGCCCATCTCAGAGAGTTCGACACTCCGCGGATCCACAGTTCCAAGCTGTCCGCCTACCGTCACGTGGCATTCCAGGCATACCGGACCCTGTACGAAAACGGGCTGCTGAACGACTCGCTGCTGCCGTTGACCAGTGTCGTGGAGCCAGAGTTGGAGGACGAGGTCAAGGAGATCCTGAAGGAAGTCGAGCGCCGTGCTGGCTTCGCCAAAGTCTCGGTCCAGATGAACCCATGGACAGGGGACGATCCCCAAGTCTGGCACGCCGCGGCTTTGACAATCGAGGGACTGAACCCGATCCTACTTTTAACGCACACGAAAGCGGTTGAAATCGCCGCCGATGAGGCAATTCAACTACACCGATCTGGTCGCACGGACTACGTGACCATCGAGCCCCTCGAGTTCCAAGTGACGCCTGCGATCATTGCCCGGGCCCGTGATTACACGCGCCGGCTGTTCTGGTCGTTCAGTGCCTCGCGCATGGACTGGAACGACCTCGATTTCTGCTACCTCTTTCTTCCGGACGAATATGACGAGGACGAGTTCATATGGAACGATCGCCGTTGGTGGCAAGCGCAGCAGCTGGCATCCGGTGCAGTCACCGCAGACCCCGGGCCGTTCCTGGCGAATGCCCTCTCGTTTGGCCAGTTCTACTCGTACCCATCAGATTTGGCGCTGGTCCGCGACGGACCGAAGCTGGCGAAGATGTTCCAGTTCGTGCGGTGGCGGTTCGCCGATGATCCGCTTTCTGCCGAGGAGGAACTGGAAATGCGCGCCTCGCTGGAAAAACGATTTGGGATCGAGGATGTCCCGCAGATCACATATCCGCTGCTCGAAGTGCAGGCTCTGCTGCCCCGGACCAACTTCCTGACGCCGTCCCAAGGATCAGGGACACCCCGGCAAACGATGCATCTGCTCCCGCGACTGTCTTATGTGATGCTGTGTTCCAGGACAGAAACTGAATATTCGCTGCTGTTGCCGTGCATCTTGCGCTCGTTGGATCTCACACTGACTGTAGAATCGATCAAAGAGACACTCTTTTCGGGCACGCGAATTGCGGGGGTGCCTCGGAATCTGCTGACGGAAGCACTGTGTGCACCGACTGCCCAAGAACAGGTCAATTATCAGGTCGGTTCTGGTTGTGTTACTACCGTTCCAGGCCGACGCTGACGGCGATATGCTAGCGCATGGAAACATTGGGTGACACGGTGCTCAAATTCATGGCCTCGATCCAGCTTCTTGCCGAGTATCCATTGTGGCACGAAGGATATCTCACCAGAAAATGGGGCATTCAGTATCAAATGTTCGATTGGCCAAAGCGAATCTGCAGCACGAGCTGTTCAAGTGGATCATCCGAGGTCATCACTTGTGTTCTATCCTTGCTCATTCGCTCATGTCGCTTCACCACTAGATCGACTGCTGGGCAGAAAGTGGAAGCCTCGCTATTTCTCAACGGACGTCGCCCAGATGGATGTGCAGGACACCCCTGTCATGAAAAATGGTCCGCCAGCGAGGAAAAAGAAGGAGAAGAAGAACAGCGGCGAGCTTTCTACCAAAGGCAAGTGGCGTGTGTTTGAGAATTTCCTGTTCTAATGGGTTGTACAGTGCTGGCAGACTGTATCGAGTCGCTGATCGGCGCAGTGTATCTGCACGGTGGTTTCGACTACGCGCTGGAATGTGCGAGCTTTTTCGACCTGAACATCAAATGGGAGCCATTGCCGCAACGCATCGAGACTCTGCTGAGTCGGGTCGAGACCGCAACCGAGCTTCCCAAACAAGTGGACTATGTGGAGCAGATGCTGGGATACACCTTTGAACGCAAGCTGCTGGTCGTGGAGGCCCTGACGCACGCGAGCTATCAGCAGGACCTGCGCACCGTATCGTACGAACGCCTCGAGTTTTGCGGAGACGCCGTGCTCGACATGATTGTGGGCGAGTACTTGTTCCGAGCAGAGGGCAAAAACTACTCTCCCGGGCACATGTTCCTACGCAAATCGGCGATGGTCAACGCACACATCCTCGCCTTCATCTGCCTGGGCACCCATCTCGAAGTGACCAGCGCCATGCCGCATTTGTCTGGCTCGCGCTCCGATCGCAGGACTGCCCGCACTCTGACGATGCAGCAACACTCGCGCTCGGTCTATCTCTATCAGTGCCTGCTGCACACGAACCCGAAAATCATGGACGACCAGCAGGCGGCCTTTGTCCGCTTCCAGCAGCATCGGGCCGAGATCGAGGAGGCGTTGGCGAGCAACGACGTGGGCGCGCCTTTCCCGTGGACGGCGCTGTTCCGGATGCAGGCGCCCAAGTTCCTGAGCGACATGATCGAGAGTCTCGTCGGCGCAGTTTTCCTCGACTCGCAGGGGGATCTGGACGTCGTGCGCGGGGTCTTGCGCAAACTCGGGCACCTGCAGATCCTCGAGCACGTCGTCGAGCGGGACATGGATGTCCAGCATCCCGTTTCGCGGCTGGCGATGTGGGCGAGCAAGAAAGCCAAGAATGTCGCGTACGAGTTCTTGACCGAGAAGGGCCAGATCAGCTGTGCGGTGTCCATCGACGGCGCGGTCATCGAAGAGACGCGCGCCACCGACAACTACAAAGGAAGATCTACCAAAGACGAAGTCAGACTGGTCGCCGCGGACAGAGCCGTCAAGTTTTTCCGGCTGCGGCTGGCGAACGACTCGGCGAAAGCAGATTCCAAAAAGAGGAAGCATACAGACTCGATGTTCTAATACTTAGGATGTATACAATGTATTATACGGTGCAGTACAGGTCGTGTCAGCCCCGATTTCAGTGCTCGGTCTCCTCCCAAGTACGACCAACAGTCTTGACCAAGTCAGCCTCGGTCACCTGCTTGCCACTCGAGAAGTATCCGGCTGCGATCTTGGCATCGATTTCGACTCGCGAATCGGGAGGAATGAGGTGGTCTGCAGGATCGATCAACAGGTGAAAGTGCGCACGGAAAGTCAAACGCACCAGGAATGTCATAACGGTGCAAGATCGGGATCCCACTCTTCACGATCGCATCGTACTTCATGTCGCTCATCGACACCATCTTGTCAACCTTCTTGACCCCGAGCCAGTGCAGCACATCGGGCATCAGCGCTTGGAACCGCATGTCTTTCACACCCGCAATCATCTCCGTCGACTTGAAGTACTTGTCCGCCGAATCGCCGCCGCGTTTGCGCAGATTGTACACCAGGTACTTCGTTACCTCCCCGAGAGCCCGGCCTTCCTTCCGGAAATAGACCACGAGGCCGACTCCGCCTCGCTGAGCACCCCGAATGCATTCCTCGATTGCGTAAGTCAGATAGGGCTTGCACGTGCAGATGTCCGAGCCGAAGACGTCCGATCCGTTGCATTCGTCATGCACTCGGAGGGTTAGTTCTTTGCTCTCGTCCCGTAGAAACGCGGGATTTCCAACTGTATCTCGTTAGCTCTTAGTGCTCGTTGCTAAATCGATGCTTACAGATATAGGCCGTCAAACCACCGATAGGGGGGAGGAAGACCTTGATATCGGGACGGGTGATCAGCTCCGGATAAGAACCGCCAGTCTCTTCGAATAGAGCGCGGCGCAGTAACAGCTCGGAGCTAGTAGAGCATGGATTAGAAGAATCCCTGACTAGAGCCAAGAAAGCAGCGCACATTCCAAATCGCTCGGCGACCCCGGGAAGATGCCATACAGGCTCGACCGCAGCCTTGCTCACCGTCACCTCGACACCCGACTCGGCGAGCCCCGGCAGGTCTGCTGTCTTCAGCACGATCTTGCCGTCGATCTCCAGTTCTCCCCGTCGCACAGACTCGTCCAACTCGCTCATCTTGATGTGCGCACGCGTGATCGCGATCGACGGCCGCGCGTCCAGGCCAAGCTCCTCGATCTCCCGATTGAACACCGTCTGCACCAGATGCCCATACGGGTCCATGCTGACGATCGGCCCGTAGTTCCCGCTCGCGGGTTTGTCACTCATCGTCCACCCACCCGCCGATCCCCACGCCGGATTGGGCGGAACCTCCACCGGCGGCTCCGTCATCGTGTAATCGGGCTTGTGGTTCGGCGATAGGGAGCCCATCGCGATGGACAGTGCGCGGTAGATCGAGTACGAGCCGCTGTGCGCACCCAGCGCGTTGCGCATCTTGATGCTGCTCGGCAGCCGCGAGCACACCACGGGTCCACGCTCGGTCGGGGCCAATGCGCCCCACTGCAGGGGGTACGGCGTGATGTTGTGTTGGCCGGGATACGTCGTCAGGTTGACACGCCCGGGGTACAGCACACGCTCGCGCTCCTTCTCTTTGGTGGTGACGTCGGAGAGGATGTGATGCAGCGGCACAGAGGAGACCGAGCTAGGGGAGGTCCCCAGATCGCCGATCTTGTCCGAGCTCGATGAGACCGACCTGCCCGCCGGGACGCTGATAGGCCTGGTGCCGTTGCTGGGGAGCGCGGGGCCTCCATTCGTCTTGTTCGCACCCGTCAGTGAGTCGAGCTGCCCCTGCATCGTTTCAAGTTGCGCCAATATCTTGCTCAAGACCAGATCCGACGACATGGTGGTTACGAAGCAAGTCGTGTATCGCACGTGTCGTATCGCTAGACTTTGGCTTGTGTATACATATCACGGCGAATCTTGCCTACATAATCGCACAGAACGGCCAATACATCAGGCGGTGAGAGGCATGGTCATTCGAAGCGCACACAAAATGAACAGAACAAATTCAAAGTCACACAGAATTGGCGGGAAACCCGTACTTTATTGGGCATCTCAATATACACTACACTACTGCTTGACGAAGATGTAAGTGGACACTGAAAGCGGGGGTGGCCTGGGGTAATTGATTTGGAACTGCATGACAAGCCTGAGGATGATTGTCAGTGACGATCGAAGGCACGAGACAGACACGTCACGTACATGCAGAGACTGTAATGTTTCAGCACTTCCTAGATAATCGTCTGGTCCAGAGGATCGTCTCGGAAGTGCGCAACACTACAGATTCAATCTCATCGGAAAATATATCCAACAAGATACGGCGTAGAACACCGTTGCGCGACAAAGCGCGCAAAGGAGAGCAGTCTCGTCGCTGTCCCATATCCTGTGCACAGTATACACAGGAATCTTGACTGCAATACAGTCCACGTTACTCGCCAAAGCGAGTAAAAAACCCCTGCGTCGGCCAACGCAACTGGGGTGTCCATCCACCCTGGGTCCTTGGGTGGAGGTGTCGGTGCGAACAACCAGCAGTTGTCGCGATTCCGCCGGAAGAGACATCTCGACCGGTTATTTGTTCGAGTGCGAGTTCGCACTCGAGACAGTCAACGAGGTATACGACCTGTGACTCGATGCCAGAACAGCAGTGCCTTCTGGTCTTTCAGGCCCGCATCGCAGGCTACGTCCCGTCGCGAACGGGAAAAGAAGCTCGTCGTGAGCTTACGACGGCGTACTGAAGTAAGAATTAGGAATGTGAAACGGGCCGACGAGAAACGCTAAAACATACCGAGCCGAAGGGGTCAATCCAAGAACCAAAGAAGTGGCACTGCCTGCCGAGTCATTCTTATAGTGGTGATCGGTCGGAGCTTGAAATAATTGATGCGCATCATGGGCTTGGATCCTGGTGATCCGCCATCTAATCTGCCAACGATCTTCCCGGTCTCCTTTCCCTTTGAGCCTCTAGTCGCACCGATCTATCGGAAGAACAGAAGCAATAATTGAATATCCTGCGCATACGGGAGCTGTACGGCGGGCCCGATACTCAAGTCTCGAATCCAGAGAAGCTCACGGTGCATTTCCCCTCACAACGGGAGCTCAGTTACATGCTACGTATTGTGCACGTTATCATAGCCTGATGAAGCAGATTCACCGCGTCTTGTATTCAGACTTTGTTTCGGCTGTCTCGCTTACCCTTGCCCTAAGCTCTCCGCGTCTGGCAATGATTTACATTGCCTGGAAGATGCTGGCTTGCTCGACATGCTTCGTTCAAGCGGAAATCCTCGTGCGATTCGTGATAGTCCGCTCGCACATTTGCCTCGACTGGCTGCTGCCCACTCTGTGGGACCAGGCTAACTCGCTTGGACGGTTTGGTCCACTTAGCCGAGCTCATAAGCACAATGTGGCCTGTAACATGGCGCGGGGCAAGGTACACGACTTTGGTGGGCAGTGTCCGACTGTTGCAAGGCGTCTCAGTGGCGTTAGCATCCACAATCCCACATTCCTCTCGCCTTTTACTAGAGGAATCCGTGTCGCGTGCTAAATGAAGTCACTTAGCAATTTTTCCGCTTCTTCGGCCATGTGGCTAACCTACCTTTTTGCATCTCTTGGCGTGCGGTTATACAATGTATCCCACTACCCTCTGAATCAGGTAGTTGGATCGACCCCCGTCGCGACTAGTAGCCCTGCCAGCTTTGTGAACAAGTGCAAGTGTAATCGATTGTAAGTAATGTAAATGCAAGTTTGACAAGTAAACAAAATATGTATGTTGAAGTGCAGCGACTCATTACACACCCTGTGGCGTTGGTTGCTGCTGGATAGCCCCCAAGCTAACGTCACGACTTTGACCCTGCATATCCTGGGAGGCAATGGAGACTGTGCCCTAGAGTAGCATGGGACCACGCACCACTCGTTGCTTTTTGACTGGTCGCGGTCGCGCACCCGCGATCCCAGCCTTAGCGGCAGTGATGACCGGAACAGTGCCGCCTCCATTTGCAGCGGACCCAACTGCCCCATTCATACCACTTGCACCTGATGGCATTCCATTCGCGTGTGGCTCTAGTTCCCTTTCTCGCTTCAGGCTTCGCTCCGGGTGTGCGCTCGTCGGTGTCCCTGTGCCAAGGCTGCTCGTCGGTGTCCCAGTTCCCTTCCGCTGAGGAGTCCCGACTCGGCCGGGGACCATAACAGGTGGAACTGACGGCCGGGGAGTGCCGGCGCTTCCTCGCGGGGTCCCTGCTGTCGTACGGGGTGTAGATGCACTTGGGCGTGGGGTGCCGACAGAGCCGGCGGCAGGAGAGGGGGCTGCGATGCCAGACTGTGCATTGTGGATCTGCTGTTTCGCCAAACGTTTGAGCTCCTTCTACAAAATCGAGTAAATCTCTGTAGATTTGATAGACCCCCAAACGCACTCGTTTCTTGCGGTCTTCCCGTGCTTGTGCGGACTCCTGGATGAGAGCAGCAGTATTCCACTGAGTTCGCGAGTAAGAACAGTCTGTGTGGGCCGAGGCTCAGAAACCAGTACGCACACCCTTGAGGCCCTCGGGTGAGACCTGGAACGCCTCCTGCTGCGTCCTCTCATCGAATTTAACGATCTTAACATGCTGTTTCGGGGGCATCTGCATTATGGTCGTGAGGTAGTCGTCCTTTTTCATCGAATGTCGTCCTAACAATCAATCAGCGCCATAGAAGGGATGAGACGTCGCCGACCACGCACCAGGGACACCCTTGATGAGGTGCTTATACGAGTTTTTCTTCTTTTTCTCTCCCTTGGCAAGCCCACCGTCCTCATCGTCCGGTTCCTGATCTCCGGGAGTTTGGGGTACCGGGCTCCCGTTCAGTTCGCGCGCTTTGCCCTTGCCCTTGTCTGGGGCATCGGCAAAGTCTTCTGCGGCGCCGCGGACATACTTGTCGTATGCAGGGATGAGCTGGAAGCGAGCGAGGAGGTCCTGGGTGCTGGCAAGGCGAGGCGCTGGGTGTGGGGGGGCTGGAAGGCGTTAACAAGGCGCTGGAGAAGGACCAGCCGAGGTACCCTTAGGCTTAAGATAGAGGACAGTGGATGGGCCGGCTTCGGCGTTCTGCTGCGGGACCATCGAGAGCGAGGGCGTCGCAGGGAAGGACAAGAACGGCTCGGCTACAGTCACTTGTTTGCCAGTGTGCCACTGCTGTCGATCACAAACTATTGCCCCCTTTGAACCATCACCACAACGCTCTTGTACCCATCTGAATTCGAAAGACCCTTCAGAGTTCTGCCATACGGCTGTGCTTATCTCCGACTCCTCACGCTCATGGCCTCTGCGTTCTCGAAGCTCCTTACTTTTCTACCTCAATGGCCTCTAGCGGATGTTGTGCATGATCACCAAGCCCTCACCTCATCGTAATTACGCGTTCATGTTTGAATCCTGGGCCTGCGAACGGTCTCTGATGTACTTATAAGTAACTGGATATCAAATCTAGATCCGCATGGGCGCATGGGCGTGCTAGTCTGTTCGATATGCGTGCGAACCACCCTTCTTCAAGGCGTAGACTTGCATGGCAGGATCTTCGAAGCCGCAATCACTACACTCAGCCGGATTTTGATATGCATGCTGACCGGCCTACTCACGCACTGGTTTCTTTCAATCAGACTTGGCTCGAACCTTCGGATCTCCACCGTGGCACATCTCCATTCTCCCATCAGGAGCGAAGTTTCATTTCAGACACGCTCACGTAAGGCTTTGCTGCTCTATAAGAAGGGGATAAGATCGATGGATTCACCTTGGACGGAGCCTTTTTGCCAGCGGCGTAAGTCGCTTTCATGTTTCTCGTCGCAAGCTTACTCTGTTACTTGTAGCCAGGGCCTCTGCCAGATTGATCCCATCCCATTCACGGGCGGTGCCAGCAGTGCCCCATATATTTGCTGGAGCACCGGAGTGCTCCAGCAAATAGTGTGAATCGTGTCCAGGGTATTGCCCTGCACACGAGGTTCAGTCTTGCTGCCGCCACTTCCATGGCGCTAGCAAGGCAGAATGTACGTGCAATCCGATTGTCGTCCAACGTATCGAGAATTCTCACTCATCTGCATAGTTGCCCAGCTTGCCACTCCTTTGCATGAGTATTGCATTTGCAGTGGCCCGCGCGGCTTTAGACAAATCAAATGACCCAGGACAGGACAACAACACGGTGCTGCTTCTCACCGATCGTCGACAAGAGAACGAGCAATGTAGTCAAATGTACATATGTTGGCAAACAATCAACTGCGCAGTCCTTGTGCGGTCGATCATCGTCGAGGCGAATATACTTGAGATATCACGAGTCCCGGCAGAACAGTTCATCTGAAGCCCGCACACTCGGCAGGGAATGAACAACTAGACAGCATCGATTCTTCTATGATAACGAGAACATTTGCCTGGATGGGCAGCGGGTGCTCTAGGCCTCGTCGCCGCAACGTGGGACGAAAGTGGACGACATTCCGTAAGGATTTGGCCCGGGCCAAATCAGAAATCACGTAATGGTAACGTGACATTTGGCCTCACTGTGAATCCGGAGACGAAATCGAGGCCAGCCGGTGATTCCCGGATCGGGCTTGATCGATAGCGATAATGCACATCTAAAACCCATCCCTCTTTCTTACTTGCTCCCACGAGCCCGGCATCCTATGATTTACTTCAAATATGGATTGATGAGGATGAGGAGGAGGAAGAAGAGGAGTTGGTTCTAGGAATTGTTGGTTTATATGCTCTACTGGCCCTTAATCAGCAGGCTAGTGTGGACAAGCAAAACGAGTGATGGCACAGAGCGTACGTTACCTCAAACTGCACGAACTTCTCCCAAATCCCCGAGCTTCCACTCCGTGACAACAGCTGTATGACACTCACAGTCTTGATTGTGTGTCGACGCGTCTCAATCTATCACGTGGCTGACGGTTCGCTCGGCAACGTTTTGGCCTGATGGAAATGCCTTTTTTGGATTTGGCCGAGGGTCTTGAGTCTCGGCCAAATCAGCGTGATTTGGCCTGTGGAGAGTTTGTGATTTGAGCACAGCCTTGATTCACATCACATCGATTGCGTCATATTTTAACTATATATGGGGATTGGCCTGGGCCAAATCCTTACGGAATGTCGTCCAGTAGAAGACCAATTGATCACGCATACACAACTTGATGGACGCTTCCATCTCCTCCGGCCAACCCGAATCGATTTCGTTGGACGAACACCTTTCATACCCGGTGTTCTCCCAGGAGCAAGATGGAGAACAAGTCATCGCAAAAGAAGCCCGGCAGACTCTGCAAGATCGTCTCTATGTCGGCAATTTACACCCAAGCGTTGACGAGTTGCACCATGTCCTCCAGTGTCCAGGGCACCATCTTAAATGTTTGCCCAGATACGCCCTCCTCCAAATATTTTCCAAGTTCGGCAGAATAACCAAGCTCGACTTTCTCTTCCACAAAACTGGGGCTCTCAAGGGCAAGCCGCGTGGATTTGCGTTCGTGGAATATGGGAGCAGTGATGTGCGTATCCTCTCAACTACCGTATCCAAATCGAGTCTCATCCCCGGGCTTCCTATGCGTCTTTTCCCTGTCCGGCGATTATCTTGTGCTTGACATCGCCCAAACTATCACAGTGCCCCGGGAGAGATTCTCAGAAGCATGTGTGCTGATTAATTGGTCTTTCGGTATCTAGGATGCCCTCAGGGCGTTGGGCTCGGCACACGATAAACTCGTACGAGGACGAAGGCTGGTCGTGACGTTCGCACAGCAAGCGCCGTTAGACCCTGCTACCGGACTCCCGAAGGCACGAAGGTCTATGGCGGAAGCTGGGCGTCCAACCACACTCAGCATGATCAAATCAGGCGCAGGGAGTCGACATGGAGGGTCCGTCAACTCTTTCCCTCTCCTCATGATTGACTGGCTGAGCGTTTCCGCAGAACGCACGACAAGATTGCGATGATGGAGGCAAAACTGCGGCAGATGGAACGGGCCGAAGAGTCCGAGTCGCTGGTCCATCATCCTTCCCTACCCCCTAAGCCTCTGCCCTCTGACTTACCAGTCAATCCCGGACTGCACTCTACCGATATTGCTGCGAGACAACGACAGACGCAGTCACCACTTCCCATGCCACCGAAAGTGCCACCGCCGCTGTCGTCGAGTACAATTTCCTCAAATAAGGTAAAACCTGCCGTCCGCAAGGCGGGTGCTTTGACTGGGATCAAATTTGGAAAACCGAAACCGAAAGCGGAAGAGAAATCATCGTGACCACTGTACAATAATATAACACACATGCTGTATATCATACTTTCTGGGTTAATGCTTCCATCTGGGGAAAGTCAGATTATGCGGGGAAGATAGCAAAGATGCCCACATTTTGATCGTGCGATCTCGTCCCCCGCTGACAATCTTATCAGCGACAAAGTCCACGCAGTAAACTTCGTCTGTATGGCCGGGCAGATCGTTTTTGAGTTTGTATATTTTCAAGTCCCACGTCTAGGACAGCGCAGGAATGAGGGATGAGACTCGATGAGAGTGGCTCGAAACGGACCTTGACAGTGCTGTCCTTCCCGCAGCTGACGACACCGCGACCGTCTGCGCTCCATGCGACACGGTAGACAGCCCCGACATGGCCGCGTAGTGTGGCGACGTACTTGCCGGTGCGGCCCTCCCAGATGCGCACGGACGAGTCCCACGAAGCCGACGCGGCCCATCGGCCGTCGGGGGAGAAGGACACATGCGACACCTGCAGCGAATGGCCGACCAGACGACACACGGGCTTGATCTTGGTGCTGGGCGCACTCGGGATCTCAGCCAACGGCCCTTTCGGGAAAGGAGACCACATAAACAGCGTGTGGTCGTCCGATCCAGAGATGAGCACTTCTGGAGTGGTGCTCAGCACAGCGGTATATCTCTCGAGAGCGCGCTTTTGCGCTGCGGGGTGCTCAGATCAGACCAGACCGGGACTGCGGTGCCGCGTTTTCACTCACCTTCTTCATCAGAAGCGGGTTTCTTGCCAGTATGGTCGAAGGGACCGGTGCGAAGAACAAAGTCAGTATTGAGGGCAAGTGTTGTGACCCAGTGAGCATGGTCCTTGAGAATATACAATTGCCGGCCCTGTTGGTGATCAGCTGAGAATTCCACCCATTCATCACTAGTGCATACCGCCTCAGCATCCCAGACGCGGACAGTGCGATCGCTGCTGGCCGTGTACAATACACCCTTGCCGACGCCTCCCCACTTGACTACGTTCACGCTGGCTGTGTGGCCACCGAGCGTGTACTCTGCCCGCCGTGTGAGTAGAGACCACACACGCACAGTCCCGTCCTTTGAAGACGACGCTATCCGTGGTGACGTTGGGTTACTATACACGTTGAGATTGATTGAACCGCGCGGTAGAGAGAGACGGACGCACAGATGGATCGGCTCCCAACACAGCGAGGTAATCCACTTAGAGTGACCTTTCAAAGCTTCCCCGAAAGGCTTGCCTGTCTTCGGATCCCAGATTCTGACCTGTGCATCGTGTCAGAGGTATCACCACAGAAATCACAATGCACGAACGTGGCCATCGTGGCCCCCCGTCGCCAGCCTACGCTCCAGAGCCTCCCACTCCACACAAAGCACCCATCCCTTGTGGCCAGACAGCGTATGCGACGGCAGTTCCGTGTCCAAGTTCCATAGCCGCGCGGTCGTATCGCCGGACCCGGTGGCCAGAAAGTTACCGGTCGGGGAGAAGGATGCACAGAGGATGGGGGAGGAATGGCCTTCGCAGCGTCAGTCAACTTGGCCCCGCAAAAGAGCACGATGAAGCGCACCAGATAGCGTGGACGAGCACCGCGTCGGAGGACGCACCAGGAAGACACTCTGCGGAGAACAGTGCACGACGAACACATCTTCCTCGGAGAATGCTTGCGAGACGATCGCGTGGTTCAGCACGTCCGTTTCTATCGATTTCGAGATCACCACTCGCGTCGGCGCGCCAGGGATGTGCTTGATTTGATCTTCCGGCAGCGCAATGTGGAAGCCGAAGGGTACAGGATCTTCCTAGACCCTTAGAATGAGATTGTACACAGAGGCGCGGAAGAGCCGGCAGACCTGGGGGCTCAATTTATTCAGCAATCCCTCCAGAGCTTCTCGCGACAGATTGGCCGGGAGGGTGACTGCAGGCGCAAGCGGTTCTCCATTATCCTCCGACACGAATTGAACAATGATGTTTGGAGAGGCTTTGACCGGCTCTGGTTGGGGTTCTGGTACACCATGGTAAAGTTTCTGTCGTTTCGGCGGAGGGAGCAAGGTGGCCATTAGCCGTGAACGCCTGCGACAAAACCGAAATTTTTGAAGTGGTGGCTGTGGGAGGGGATATCTGATTCGAATGATGTCACATTCAACCAAGCGTGACCGTAAAGCAAATTATGGCTCTACTGTATCGCCCTGGGCGGCTTCGATTCTTGACAATGAATAGTGGGAACAAACTCATCAGAAGAAATCGAAAGCAACATATTCAAGTGTAGCGCGGCTGATATCGTCGATTGTACCTCGGGCTGCAAAACTGGCTATCGACCTGGACATGCCGTTTCTTGACTAATTGAATCCCCCTCTTGAGATGCCTCACAAAGGATTTATTCACGGTCTCGACTCTCGGGTAGGTTCCTGCAGAATACTTATCATGATATCAATCCGACACAGCGGCGTCTTGATTCTGCACGATGCAGCCCTCGGCCCGGACGCCAAATACTCTCCATGCCAGTCTCAAACTATGGAGAGCAATGCTGGTGCTTGGTACCATCCTCTCAGTCTACATGCGCCCAATTTCGCTGAAGAGCTTGCTCGGTTGCCCATGTCCCCATGCACTTCCCACACAATCAATCGACATGCTGTTGGACGGTCCGGTGCCCTAACAATCGGTGCCGCTTGCAGGCTTCCCAGTTCCCATGTCGCTTAGGTCTCTTCCATCATATCCGGTGTCATCTGGTCTATTGCGAGGGGTCAGACGACCTCCCACTGCCGAGCATATATGAGTCTGCTTAGGCAGAAGAGCGGGGTTCAGCAGACCACCGGCCCAACTCACACTCCATACTTACTCCGACTCATCACTCAATGGCCGGCGGTGGTACATCATCTCAGCCCTTGTCCTCTGCGCGCCGCAAAAACCTGGCCGGAAAGTCTGGATGGGTGGGTGCTTCTCCCTCGCCTCCATCGAGCGCGCATAAATGGGTGACAGGCGGGCTTGGTCGAGAATCGGCGCGTGTTTGTGATGGCGGTGTTCGCTTCGTTGGGTGGATTGTGAGTTGCTATTCCCGGTGCTCCTGCTCGTTTCGCTGACGCTTCTTCGCATAGACTCTATGGTATGTTGTTTCACACTCTCGTCGTCTCATGTCTGCTGATGCTGCGTGTAAGGCTATAACCAGGTGAGTTGCGCCGCCGATAGCACTTTGACTGGTACTCAGGGCGGTTAGGGTGTCTTCTCGGGTGTCCTGGGGTGCGTCTTGTCCTGCTGTCTCGAGTACTTCTCACTGACGTTTGTCTGCTCAGAATGCGCAATTTTGACGATGCGTCCGTATCCGGTTCTTCCATCTTCGCTGTACATTGTGTCTTAACACCGACCAGGATGGGAAATGCTGTCACGGACTCCGGAAAGAAGGGTTGGCTCGTGTCCATCCTGGAGCTCGGCGCTTGTAAAGAGATCCCCACTCATTGGACTCCCGATACTGACTTTCTTTGCTAGGGCTCGGTGTTCTTCTGACGGGTTAGTTCTTATCTTCCCGCGCTCTTCCTCCATGACGATTGAGCAGGTTATATTGCCGACAAAATCTCGCGCAAGTATGCGGTTGTGGTTGGTAAGACGGACTGTTTATGCGAGTCCCCCCCAAAAAATCTAAGACTGGACAGCTGTGATCGTGTTCTGCATCGGTGTGATTGTTCAAACGACAGCTCATGCCTCTCCGTCTATCTACGGCGGTCGTTTCGTGACGGGTCTCGGAGTGGGGTCCTTGAGCATGGTTGTCCCGCTGTACAATAGTGAAATATCGCCCCCGGAAGTGCGCGGCAGTCTGGTCGCCCTGCAGCAATTGGTCTGTCTTGTCCCGCTGTCCGCCGTTTTCGTTTTCTCGCTCAACGCTCTTAGGCAATCACTTTCGGCATCATGATCAGCTTCTGGATTGATTATGGCACAAACTACGTATGTTTCTGATTCTCGTGATAATCCACATACCTGGACAACTTGGTATCATAGATTGGTGGCACCGGGGCGACTCAAAGTGAAGCTGCCTGGAGAATCCCTTTGGCGCTCCAGCTCGTCCCGGCGCTGTTCCTCGGCATTGGGATCCTTTGGATGCCATTCTCACCGCGGTGGCTGGTCAATCAGGGGCGGAACGACGAGGCTCTGGCTGTGCTCAGCCGTGTTCGCGGGCAGTCCTCCGATTCCGAGGTTGTCCAGATTGAATACCTGTGCGTTTTCAGACCAGGCAGTACCATAACGACCTGACATCTCAACGAAACCCAGGGAGATCCAGGCGCAGTATCTGTTCGAGAAGGAGACCCTGGAGAACAAGTTCCCTCAGTATCAGGATGGCAGTTTCTCTTCCGATTTCAAACTCGGGTTCTTTGCCTATTTCAGTTTGCTCCAAGAACGCAGCCTGCTGTATCGGGTTGCTGTTGGATCGCTTGTCATGTTTTTCCAGCAATGGACAGGCAAGTCTACTTTCGCTTCTACCTCGAGAGGTGTGTACTGAGCGGGATCAGGAATCAACGCAATCCTGTATTATGCTCCCAGCATCTTCCAGAAACTGGGGTTGACCGGAAATACCATCTCCTTGCTTGCGACAGGTGCGTCGTTGGCGATCTCAGTCAGGACTGGCTGCGTCTGACCGCGTCTTCTAGGTGTTGTCGGGATCTTGTAGGCATTGCGCCCTGACGAGACGAATGGGGCTCTAATGAGATGCAGGATGTTCTTGGCGACGATCCCCGCCGTGCTGTGGATCGATAAGCTCGGGAGACGTCCGATTCTCATTTCAGGCGCCTTTGTGATGGCGATCTGCCATTTCATCGTAGCCATCCTCACTGGGCTGTATCAGAATTCGTGGCCCGATCATGTCGCCGCTGGTTGGGTCGCCTGCGTCTTTGTGTGGATTTTCGCCATTGGTTTCGGATACTCGTGGGGTGTGATCTTCTCGCTGCGTGTATTCGTTTCTTCATCTACTAATCTGCCTCATCAGGTCCTTCTGCTTGTGCGTCCTCATTTTCCCGTTCTACTTCGCAACGGTCCTCAGCACATTCACAGGGGTCATTGTCGCTGAGGTAAGCACCGTGATGTGCGATGTTCGTTGCTGACGAGGCGGAAGATATGGCCACTTTCTGTGAGTGCCAATCTCTTGTCTGAATTAATCATTGCTTATTCTCGTTTTGCGCAGGTTCGTGGGAAAGGTCTTTCCATTGCAGCGTCTTCAAATTGGGTTTGTCTTTTCGTGGCCACTTGGAAAACTTTCATTACGAGCATCCTCAGATGAACAACTTCATTGTCGGGCAAGTCACACCGACGATGCTCCAGCACATTGTCAGTCCCTGCTTACCCACGTGTCGATGCACTAACCCAGTGCCAGGGTTTTGGTACATTTGTGTTCTTCGGCGCATTTTCTCTGATGGGCGGGCTTTTCGTTTTGTTTTTCGTCAGTCGCATGCGTGATGTTGGCGCCTGGACCATGCACACTCATGCTCTGTTCAGGTACCGGAGACAAAAGGAAGGACGCTCGAAGAGATGGAAGAAGGTGCGCCGGCTCGGAACCGACGCGGCCCTAACCTACTGAACGTGGTCCAGTATTCAGCGACAGCGCCAAGATTGCACTGGAAGATCAAGCGCGCCTCGACGCTATATATAAACGTCTCGGGCTTCACGATGCGTCGACCACGGAAAAGAACGATATCGAGGACAAGGCGGCAGAGGATAGGATTTCGAACAGTGTAGAATAGTGTTTTCACAAGTGCTTAGTTTACGATGTACGAGTCTTACGAGATCCAGCTTGAGGATGTTTTGACGACCCTGAGAATAAGAGATCAGCATTCCGCAGTCTATTGAAGGTGTCGGAGATCAGAAGTCGATTGAGTATCCTCAACCCAGTAGGGTATAGGTAGTCTAACATGCTTTTGACTTGATGCCAGAGGCCATCACAAGAGAGAGAGAGAGAAATGAAGTGAGGACCAACCTTTAACATGAGGCAAGCGAGAGGTTTTTGGACACTTGCGGTTGGTGACGATACCTAGTGTGCGCAAGTTGTGGAAAAGAGCAGAGAACGAAAACGCTGAGACGGGCCGTTACTGATGTTCTTTGTCACAACGACTCTCATCACGTGCAGGAGATCTGATCGGGCCGCTGCGCCTCACTTCAACTAGGCCAACACACACCGCCGATGCCTCGTGGTCTTCTCGTATTCAAATACCAGCCGTAAGAGGGCAGGCTCGGGCATCTAGAGTGCAAAGATCAATGTATGTCTCCCGCTCATTTCCGTAATCGACATGGATCGGGTGCGCATGTCTTGTCGCCTGCTTCCTGATATCGTAGTGTTGGCAGTTGTCCTTGTTGCTCACCAGTCCCTTGTTCTTGCCAGTACATAAAGGAATCCAGCGCTCGCATCTGATTCCCACACTCGACCACCGCGCGCAGCCTTCTCATCGCTTGCTTGTATCGCACAGTATTTCGGGTGCGATATGGCGGCCACTGGATTTCCTCCCGCCCGCATCGACATAATATCACCCGATCCTGGCAGGCGTCACAAATCCCCCATCACACCCGCCACTACCGCCGGTGTCACTGGTATCGTCTACCCTTCGCCTGTCGACGCGCCGCCGCGACCGCCCCCCTTGCCGCCCAAACGACGCCCGCCCGGGCATCGATTGTCCCGCATCGAGTCTGTGTCGTCTGTGACGTCGCAGGACTTCATCCAGATCTCGGACGACATCGTGGCACTTCCGCAGCTGGAGGACGATGCTATCCTGGACGATCTGTGGAAGTCGTTGCGTGCAGACAAGGAGCTCAAAATGCACAAGGAGGTCTCCAAAGTTAAATCCCTGGAGGAAAACAAACCAATTATACCTCCGATCACCGAAGTTGTCCCACCCCGCGCGGCATCGAGTTCGAAAACGAGGTTGGTCCAAGGATTGTCGATACTGTGCTGTTTGCTGAGCCCACGATACAGCACACCCGCCCTTCAGCATGCACGGACTGCATCGATTAGCAGAAGCACCTCGTCGCCGCACCGCTCGCCGCACACGCCGTCGCCGCTTTCCAGGCAGAGCCATAGTCCGCCTCGTACGGAACATTCACAGTCTCACGCCAACCGAAAGTCGCTGCTAGAGGACGTTGTGCCTGAGACTTGGGTTCGGACGGCTCCTCCGAGTATCGTGTCCCCTCCCCCTCCTTCGCCACCGCCACCTCCTCCAAAGGCAAAGACAGTCAAGAAGAAGAGATCTGTGTAAGCGAGCTACGTTGATGATCGATTTAGGCTAACCGAGAGCAGAGTGTCGTACAAGACGGTGCCAGAACGGAACTTTCAAGTTGCTATATTTGATCTACGGGGCGTCGACCGAGACGACATCCGCGTGACCTACAAACGAGATCACCTCATCGTTTCGTGGGAGATATGGGAGGTCGAAGATTGGGAGGAAGAGGACTGTATCGCCCGCAAGACACTCGAGCGAGTGTATCATAGAATCATTCCCCTTGCGCCCGGGACAAAGGTGCTTGCCGATTGCCGTTGAATGATGCCTAAAACTGACTGCCGTATCCAGTTTAGTGAGGTGTACAGTACGATGAAAGGCGAGGACATGCTCTTGCGTTACCCCCTCACAGCAATGTAATAGTACTACACCCCTTGTGTGCATGTTTGTTGAAATCCAGCCGTAATACACGTGGTTTGGGGCAAGAGATAAGGAACCGGAACGCAGTAGCTGCTGACTAATAATGTGGGATAAATAAGTAGCTGTCGCGCCCTGGCTGCGCGCCCACGACCCCATCATTCGGTGCTTTGCACCACCCACCACTTTCTTTCTCATCCTATCATGTCCTCTCCTCCCGAAACGTGGGATAATGAGGACGTCTCGCAAACCGATCCTTTCGTTCCTGTCTTCACTTCACACTCCCGCTCCCGTTCTTTGCAACAATCTAGTGATCTACTAGGCTCTCCGCTAACCGGAGAACATGCGCCGCTCCTCAATCGACCATCTCGCGTCAAGAAGCCGTTCTACAGGCCACGGCCGCTGTGGTGCGGTGCTCAATAATGCCGTCCGCGCGTCTCTCATTTACACGTTTCCAGGCTCGTGCCATTCGCAGTCATCTCCGCCCTCGTCGTAAGTGTTGCACTGTCCCGCCCCACTCGATCCTTATGATTCTGATGCGTCCCACAGCGCGGGATGACCCTTGCGCCTCGCATCGAAGTGTTTACTCAACTGTCATGCAGTCGGTTACATCATAGCTACAACCACACGCGCGCCATCGATCCTCCTCCGCCGTTCGTACCCCCGCGCGGGCCTCTCTATTTCTCGGGGGACCCGCTAGGACCTCAGCTCGTTCCCAGCGACAATGCTCCAATCCTAGCATTTGTTGGGGAGCCGACGAATAACGAGCCGTGGGACGACACGGACACGGGTGGGGACGATGTACGGCGGCTGCCCTCTGCGAGATGCATGGCCGACCCCGCGGTCCAAGCGGGTGCTGCGCGGCTGCAGACTATCTTCACCACGACGATGGGCTTGCTCAGCGCGTTCACCACGAGCTGGTGGGGTCATTTCGGGGAACGGCATGGACGGACGAGAGTTCTCGCTTTCACCACGATTGGGCTCTTAATGACGTGCGCGCGATCGTGTCGATGACGGTTCTGTCGCTGACCTTGGGCGTTTGTTTAGGGACCTCATCTTCATATTATCATCTACGCCGTCTTCACCCTTCTCCTCCCATGGTCACAAACTCCTACTGGTCGCGCCCATCATCGAGGGACTGCTCGGCAGTGCTTCAACTCTTCAATCCTCAACTTCAGCCTATATTTCGGACTGCACATCGAGTGGTAGTCGGGCCTCAGTGTTCTCTCGGTTCACGGGTGTGTCATTCCTCGGATTCGGAGTAAGTGCAGTTGCGCCCTGGTCGCAGCGACAGTCACTCACACGCTCACATAGCTTGGACCCATCATCGGTGGATATCTCATCCGCAATCCTATATCGTTCTTGGATGGTCCACCCCACCCCGGGCAGGTCAACACGCCCTCCGTGACCTCTGTGTTCTGGGTCGCGATCGCCCTTCAATTCATCAACTTGTGTCTTGTTGCGCTGGTATTCCCCGAGTCGGTGTCCAAGGAACAACGCGCCCTTGCTGCTGGCAATCACAAGGGCAAGGGCAAGGCTAGAGATAATTCGACTAGATTAGCCGATGTCGCCGAGGAAACAGAGGTCGAGTCCGGATTCTTGACAAGGCTTCTGTCTCCTTTGGCCGTTTTCATGCCGGTGTCGATTACTATTCCTGGGACGACGCGGAAGAGAACTGACTGGAGCCTGACGTTTGTTGCCTGTGCGATGTTTGGATATATGCTTTCCACTGTTGGTCCTTGTCCACTTGGTTTTGTGCTTTGTACAATGACGCATTTTTGCAGGGACTGTATCAAATCAAGTATCTATATGCCGGCCATGTGTATGGCTGGGGTGCCGAGCCGCTCAGCTACTATATATCACTGTTGGGAACCACGCGTGCCGGTTTCCTGTTGTTTGTATTTCCCCGTGCGTTAGCGTCCATGTTCTACCCTCACAGCAAACACTCAAAGAATTCTAGTGATCATCTCTACTTTCAAACCCAAGTCCGACGCTCCCAAGGACAAGGCGATGTCCAAAGCCGAGAGACCTAAGCCGACCAAGGGGCAACTTGCCAAAGAAATCCGATTCGACATGGGGCTCAGCCGGCTCTCGTTGATCACCGATATCCTAGCCAACACAGCGATATTGGTTTCTCCGGCTCCGACCTACAAGATGCATTCGAATCTCATGAACGATCTGGTGCCGCCGTCCACGGGCAACTCGGAGTTCCAGAAGTCGCAAGCGTTGTTTGTTTTTGCTAGCTGGGTGCAGTGCATGGGCGCGGGTATTGTTCCTGCCATCCAGAGTCTTGCCTTGTGCATCGTACAAGCTCGCTCGTTGCTTGCCTCCGAATCTGGCCAACTGCAAACGAAAGATGCTGGTGCCGGTGCATTGTTCGGTGCACTGGCTGTTTTGCAAGCTAGTGGGCAGATGGTTCTTGGGGTGCGAAGTTGTCTTTCCATCGATGCTGTGCCGTACTCACCTCTGTTCCAGCCTCTTCTGTTTGGCCTGGTATATAGCGGCACTGTTTCAGCGTTCCCAAAGACGGTGTTCGTACTCTCGATCGGCATCCTCATCACATCGTTCATCGCCATTCTTCTTGTGCGAAATCCGCTGTCCAATGCCAATGGCAAAGGAGCTATGCGCAAACGTCGACGGATCAGTGCTAGTCAAGAGCAAGAGGAGTCTACTCGTGGCAGATCTCGAGTCAGCAAGGATCTCGGCTATGGCAGCACCATGCAGCGACCGCCAGCGCTGGGGGAGCCATCCTCCAGCGGACGGCTGGGGTAAATGGCTAGTATTCTGTTCTATCTATTCTAGAACATATGTAGTCCTCTTATAGTTTACTATCTATATCCTTGTATTATAATCATCATCTCCTGGCCCGGAGCACACGCAAATCACCTGTCGACACACAATCCAACACAGCCACGCTTCTTGTACACCCCTCCCCCCAACCGTTGCTTTGATCGAAAGTGCTGGTTCGCGATGGATCTTGAAGCCGCCAAAGACGTGGAAAAGGTCGACGTGGAGGGGATCGAGGGAACTTCCTTTTCGGTAAGGCAATATCACACTAGTCTCTGATTATGCTCGGTATGCAAGGTCGAATCCCAAGATCGATCCGAACCAACTCTCTCCGGGTTCCCTTGTCATCATGAACAGCGCCGATCCTTCTGCTGAGCCCTTCATCACGACGAGAGAAGCGTTCCTAAACGCGATCCCGGACAGCGGTCCGCTAGTTCGGCCCTGTGGGAACTGCCAGAACGTACCGCCCAAAGGCAAAGAGTTCTCGAAATGCGCAAAATGCGGGGGCACATACTACTGCAGGTACGCACCCTCTCAATGAGCAGACTCTGTAAGGAAGACTTGATGACACGTTGCCTCGCAGCCGCGAATGCCAAATGTGCGAGTTTTCGCCCACTCCGAGAGACTTTTCGTTATCGATCATCGTCGGTCTAGCGCCCACTGGAAGGAACATAAAGCGACATGCAAGCATCGTGTAGGAATGAATGCGAAGTTTGCGCAGGCCAAGGAGGCCGCGCTGGCAGCGGGGGAGAAGTACTTTCATCCCGCTACGTTACAGTCGTGGTATCGCATCAACCACGCTGCCATCGAGTACGCTGTACGTTTTTCGCTGCGATCAGCTCTCCAATTACTCTGGCTGAGACTGCGCATGTAGGGATTCTATGCGTTGGAACACCACAAGGGCTTCGTGCAGTCTCTGATCCGGACGCACGTCGCGCTGTTCCTGGTACGTGTGGACGAAAACGCAACCGAAGACCCGAGGGCCGTCCGCCTGGAAAAGGTCGTCCCGATCCTGCTGACGGAGCTGGCTGCGATGCTGCGGATGACCGAGTCGAATCTCGCGCAGTGCAAGAGGGCTGCGCGCATGGGCCAGATGGCTCTGTTCTTCATGGACATGAAAGCCAATCTGCAAGTGCTCGAGTTCCACGAGCCGCCTTCACCCGAGCCGTATCTCAATGGGACGAAACCACTCGACCCATTCTGGGAAATCCATGTCATGCTCAAGGTCAATGGGGGCCTGCCAGCCGAGGAAGAGGAGAAAACGGAGACAGATGCTACGGCGGAAATGCCTGCGGTGGAGGCGCAGTTAGAGCCGGAAAAACCGGCGGAAACAGACCCTGCAAGTAAATGAAATGTATTTTATCGCGTTCTGTCACGGCTGTTATCCGTCGCGCGTCGTCACGGATCACGTGTCGTGAACACTGGTGAGATCGAGCGCCGCGGCTCGCCTATCATCTTACCCTTATCTTTTCTCCACAGCGGGAGAACGCCCGTCTCGAATTGGGGTCCAGACTCCCATGTCATGATTCCAAAGAAGAACAATATTCCCTCATCCAGAAAGCAAACATAAGAGGTGTGAGCAACGACATGTAATACCAGTTCGACACATAGCGCTGGAGCGCCATAGCTGCGGATCCGAAGCTCCTTAAGTGGGACCCGTCGATCAAAAGAAGCGTTGAACATATCCGCTCGTGGAGGCGCCTGTTTTGTTATCTACGTCGAATGCTTATCAAGACCTCCCTTGGGAGTATCTTCCATCCTCTCCCCAGCCTCCACTTCTACTTTCGAAGATGTCACAATGGCTGAACAGGTCGACGTGGGCCCTTGAGCCCGAAGCGTCGACGTTTGCGCCGAATTCGCGGTGGAGCAATAAGGACATGGATCCCGTGCCAGAGAAGTTGAGGACCTGGACGACTTGGGTGCGTGGAAGCCAGGTGTACATTTTTGTGGCGATAATGATGAACGAGTTTGAAGAATTATGTGGCTTATTGGATTTCGGATGCAGTGAGTCGTGAGGGCGTCTTGCGAAGTTTCGGCCACTAAAACTACTGCACAGACGAATACTGTGCGTGTGAATGGCTTTGATTGACCTCTCGATATTCAGCAGGACGTACACAGGCTTCATGGGAACTAGCGAGCTCGATGATTGCGGTCGGGCTTTCATGGTGAGGATAGTCTTGTGATTAACCGACGCGCTAAAATTGCTACCGCTCGAAGGCGACAAGCACTACCTGCTATTGCAGTCGGTCACACCATTATCGCAGTAGCCATGGTATGGTCATACTCGGCTGTCACGCAGAGCACATCACAGACTGTTCGAGCAGGTCCTAAACGGGACCGCGGGCGCGCGGCTGCATATACCGTTCCCGGTGCTAACGCGATCCTCGTTCGGATTTTGGCTCAGCTACTTTGCGGTGATCTCACGGGTGGTTCTTTCAATGTTCTGGTTCGCAATCCAGGTGGGAGGCCTCTCTGATCCGTATTCGAAGACTCTTGTTGAACAGCTGCAAAGACGTATACGGGATCCGAATGTGTTTATCAAATGCTGAAAGCAATTTGGCCCTCTGTTGCCCACATCCCCAATCATCTTCCGGCGTCTTCAGGGATAACCACGGTTGGAATGATGTGCTATTGTGTGTGACTGGACTTTCTGTGTGGCATTTACGTTGAACAGAACTCAGTCCTGTACTGGCTGGGGCAATTCCCGTTCTTACTCATCTCGCCGCAGCGGATTCGGTACCTATTCGTTCTCAAGGCAGCGATTGTGCCCGTGACATGGCTGGCGATGCTGATCTGGGCACTGCACAAGGTCCCACCGAGGCTCAGTCTCCAGCCGCAGCATGAGACGCTTACGGGCAGTGCGGCGAGCTGGGCCTGGTTGAGCTCGCTGAACAGTGCACTGGGCATCTACGCGACTCTAGCAGTCAACATCCCTGACTTCACGAGATACGCTAAAAACGAGCGGGCCCAGTACGTGCAGCTTGCTATTATTCCGGTGGCGTTCACTCTGGCTGGGTTCTGCGGCATGGCTGTGGCGTCGGCCAGCGAGCATCTCTATGGGATGATCATCTGGGACCCACTTCAACTGATTGACCGCTGGGACAACCGCGCCGCTGCCTTCTTCGCTGCGTTCAGTTTCTCGCTTGCCAGTGCGCCAAAAGCTTTCGGTACTCATGGGATGTCTGTGGCTTACCAATCCACAGCGCTGGGGACCAACATATCTGCCAACTCGCTCTCGGCTGCTAATGACATGACCGTCCTCTTTCCCCGGTACATTAACATCCGGCGGGGTCAGATCATCTGTGCCATCGTTGGAGGTTGGGTTCTGTGCCCATGGGAGATTCTCAACAGCGCTCCTGGATTCCTCACCTTCATGTCTGGCTACACGGTCTTCCTGGGGCCTTTCACGGGGATTATGATCGCAGATGTATGTCGTTTTTCTACCTCATCTTCATGATCTGATGTGCCCAGTATTGGCTGATTCACCGCGGCAAAGTGGATGTGCCCGCGATGTATGATCCTAAAGGAAGGTACAAGTACTGGAATGGGATCGTGAGTTCAAGTTGCATCTCATTCTATCCGGATCGCTGATGGTGATCAGAACTGGAGAGCACTCGTTGCCTTACTCTTGTCCGTCACACCCGGTCTGCCCGGCCTGGCACAGAGCATCAATCCTAAGATCAATGTCGGAAATGAGGCTAAAATCTTTGATATTGCATGGATCTACGGATTTGTCACTGCCGGGGTGGTCTACGGCAGTCTGTCCACCCTATTTCCCGCCAAGGAGACCTATCTCGAAGCAGCAGATCTGGGGAAATCGGCAAGTGTCACATCGGTGGAGGAAGAGAAATCCGATTATGCCTAAAGTACATCCATTGTCTATCAAGCTGCTCTGATGAATGTCGTCATTCCCTGAATGTTGGCGGCGTCTGCACAAGATCGGGTCAGCTGGGTTGAGACAGGAGACGTTGGATGAGCTCACTGATAGTCAGACCAGCGGCCTTGGCAGGCCCTGCGATCTCGACCGTCTGCAGCGGAGTGGCCTTGCCGGCAGCGCCCAATGAAAGAACCTTGACTTGAGTCGCATTCGCAGCCAACACATACAGGAAACTGTGGGTTAATCAGCATGGAGCGGGAATTGAGACCGAGCGACTCACTCATTCTGACCAACACTGGCCACGTCGTTGTCGATGGTAGCCGTCCCGTTGCCTTGTGGATATTGCTGTCGAGCGCATGAGCATCTTCTCCCTTCGTAGGAGAACTATCGCCGACGTACAGTCACAATGGTCGGCTTGAGATTGCTGTCGACGTTGATCTCGGTCACCTGCGCAGTGCCGATGTCCGTGACATAAAAGTTACCGGTCTTGGGCGAGAAGCTTGACCAGCAGGTCGCCCCCTGGCCCGCGATCGGCAGCACGGACGACGATCCGTTAGCAACCCCGGCTGTCACGCCCTGAGAAAAGTCGAACACATCAACACCGGTGCCCGCGTCCGTGGCCAGGATCGCATTCTTGCCGTTGATCAGAGTCATGCTGAATGGCAGCAGGCCGCCCTTGGCAGGCTGCACTGCCTGGAAGTCCGCCGACAGAGAGTTGTCGGAGGCAATGTCCCACACAGCGAGGAAGCCCGGAGTCGGTGGGACCCCCTTGACCGACGCGATGAGTTGCTTCTGGTCCTCGGAGAAGACGATGTGGCTGGCCGTCCCCGCTGGTCTACATTTGCCATTAGAATCACGGGGATCTGTATTAGGAGTACTAGGCATTACCCAGTAGCAGGGCTGTGAAAACCGGGTCAACAACGCAAGCTCCATGGAAAAGGAGAGGACACTCACGTCGTCTGGTTCAATTTGAGGCTGCGAACTGTGTTGGCGACAGGCGACAAGCCCTTGGTCTTGTCCACCGAGAAGCAGGCAACACCGTTGATGGCGCCGCCGTTCAAAGCACACACCGTGTTTCCGGCTTTGTTGATCGCAAGCGACATGGGGAATTCACCACCACTGCCGATGGGCTTGCCAATCATTTGGAGGGTCGTCGGGTCCTTTGCATCGATGCTGAATACCGAGATCGTATTCGACCCCGAGTTGACCGTGGCAACGATGTTACCACCGGCGGACGCTTTCACGGCACCTTGAGAGAACAGCGCGTCGGGGTCGCTCGTCCCGGGCTGACCGTGACTTCCGGAACCCTCAGATGACGTTGCTTGGCGGAGGGTCTGAATTGTTTCGTAATCAGCGATTGCAGAGACGGTGGCTAAGCAAAGTCATACCAATTTGCCATCTTGTCCGATAGCGGCAGAGACGACGAAATTACCAGTCGGCTCGTTTGAGATGACTACGCGTGAGGGATGAGAACGGAGCGGTAAAACGCGTGAGGGGACGTGCAATAGGCAGCACCGGCAGGCGCGCCTCCAGACGGCTGCGCGTTCATCGTCATCTTCTGCTTACTGTGTCGCGGACTGAGGGGAGCCCCAGATACTGCAGATGCAAGAATAACGGAGCATGAAACACAAAGGATCGACAGTTTCATGGTGAAGATGTTCGTGGGCTGGATAAGAATTCGAAAGACAACACAGGGGGATCGGCTGGCAAGAAAAGAGAATTGAAAGAGAATGTACGAGCGCAGCTCGGAAGAAAGCAAAAGAATGAGGGGGGAAGAAATGAGCCTGAGGCCATGACTGGGAGTTTGTAAGGTTTTATACTCTGGTGCGAAGTCGAGTTTAGGAGACCTGTGCGAAAGCGATGGTGATCGATATCATGCATCACTGTATGGGCGTCGATCACCGTTGCCCGTTCCCCCCAGAGATAGAGACCGGCCAGGTCAGGTCACCAATGTAACATGGCCCATGAAGCGGCATGATACATACTTGATTAGTACTAATCCCTACATACCGCACTATTATTAATCCCTACATACCGGATTATTACCAATCCTGCCGCAGTCTTTGACAAGTGGCACGTAGAGACCAACGCAAGCTTTCGATTTCATCTACATAATCAATAAATCTACTCTGCTTCGGGTTCGTCTTCAGTAGTAAATACGAGACATGCACCGTCATCTCCCGCGCTGATGACTACTGAGCCTTCGAGACCGAGCGACGCGCCGAGGACTGCGCCCTGGTGCCCTAGATGTGTCCTCAACAAAGTGCCCGTTCTTGCATCCCAAGTCCGCAGCGTCTTGTCTGCTGATGCTGACACAAACAGGTGCGCCTTAGGTGCTGGCAAAGCAACAAGCGTCGTCACGGCATCCTGTGAAACGCGTCAAACTTGGTAGAAATGATCAACTGAGGAGACGCACTGTATGCTCTAGCGTCGCGCGCAGCCGCATGGTGGTTAGGTCCCAGATGCACATCCTTCCATCAGTTGCTCCGGTAACAGCTATCCCAGCACCGGTGGCACCCGTCCCGGCCAGATCAACGAATTGTACCGCCTCGATGCTCTCGCCGTCAGTGTGGCCACCCAGTGCGGCGACGACTTCCCCCTTAGCAAGGCTGACAACTCGCACGCCGCCGTTGGCACCGCCAACCACCGCAAGGGATGAGGCCTGGTTGACTCCCAGAGAGGTGATGCCCTCCAGGTCAAAACGGGCATCACCAGGTGTCAACTTGAAGACGGGCGTTGGTGAACGCGGATCCCAGAAAATCAAGACACCGTCCGCACACGCAGTCACAATTCTCTTGCCTGAGGTCATAATCAATCAGTCATTGACAGGATCTCTCGAAAAAGATCCCCAAACATACCATCGGGGGTGAATTCTCCGCACTGGACTGCACCCGAGTGCCCAGCAAGGACCTGCATAGTGTTGCCCGATGGCACTGCGATATTCATCAGATCCGACCCAAGGGCATGACGGGAAACGGTCGTACATTGCCAGAGCCACAGCGTCGAATCATTTGATCCTGCGAGCAGAACATTGCCCTTGGGATGCCAACGTAAGAACTGCGAGTGCAGATCAGATATCGTGCACTGAGGTTCGAAATATCTGTGCGTACCATGACCTCATCTGGTCCTTCAAGCTGCGTCAGGAACTCCCATGTCCGATAGTTCTCTTTTCCGACCCGTCTCCATATCCTGATTTTGCCGTCCATCCCACCAGTCGAGATCATCTCCCCGTCTGCGCTCCATGCGACACTGGTCACACTATCCGAGTGGCCTGTCAGCTTCACCATAACTTCGCCGTCTGTGATATCCCATATGTAGCCAAGATCGTCTTCGCCACCAGAGGCAGCTAGCGGTTCCGTTGGATGCGCCGCGACGGCAAAAACTGAGGAAGCATGTGCAGCAAAGGCTTGTAGAGAGTTGTCGTCTCCAGCCGGCCCAGAAAGTTCGCCGACGGTGTCTCCCATCTCGTCATCATCTTCGTCCATAGGCTCGTCCCCGTCTTCCACTTCAGCAAGGACATCATCTTCGGTGATGAACTGCTCTTCCTCAAGATCTTCTTCGATATCGTCGTGGGCACTCATTAGATTGGTAGCGGATGAGGTTTTCTTCCAAAGGTGTTATGCGTGCAGACTGGAAGAGGGTGGGTTTAAATATGGCGCGGCTTCTCCAAGCAACTTTTTGACTGACAAAGGCAGAGATTGCGAGATCGCTTACTACGATTGCTGACCGAAATGATGGTGGTGTTGATGGGATCAACATATACGTTAGGACCAGAATGGTGTTGAAAGCAATCGTTGCTGAATTGCAATCTCTGGACGTCATTCACTCACTTAGCATTTTGGTAGGGAGATTTTTTTCTAGGATCTATCTTAGATTTTTCTTGTATAGGAACTATGTGCTTTGCAAGCCGGGCTTTCAGGCGGGCTGACGGATGGTAACCCTAACCACAAATAACACTTGATAGTCAGCAAACCGACGTGGAACTTCCTGAACACAACTTGCTCCTCTCCATCCATACACAATGAGATTCACTTCGTCGCTCCTTGCGGCGGCCCTGCTTCACCTTGTCTCCGCATCCAACGTTCTCGACCTGAACCCTGGCAATTTTGACGAGATCATTGGGCAAGGCAAGCCTGGGCTGGTCGAGTTGTACGTGTACTTCTATCATTGCGCCAGCACTGTTCTCATTCTACAAACAGTTTCGCGCCGTGGTGGTATGCCCCTTTATTAAATGACCGCGTTTGCAGCTAATGACACGTCCTGAATTTCAGTGGTCACTGCAAAGTGCGCCGCTCAACTGTCTCGTGGTCCCCTTCTGACGCGCACTTGACAGAACTTGGCCCCCATATACGAGGAACTAGCAGATGCTTTCGTGCACGCAAAAGACCGAGTAGTTGTCGCCAAGGTGGATGCGGACGGCGAGGGCAAATCCCTGGGACAGAAGTTCGGCGTCACTGGTTATCCTAGTCCGTGGCATTTCCCTTCTTGTCCCTCTCATTCTCATCTTCACGTTAGCCTTGAAGTGGTTCAATGCCGATGGAACACACGAGCCATACGAGAGTGGACGTGATTTGGACTCACTGGCGGCCTTGTGCGTGTCCCCAGACCTTGAGAGAATAGCGCGCTGAGAAGAGCAGTATCTCCAAGAAGACTTCGATCAAGTCGAAGGTCAAGCCTCCTCCAGAGCCTGAATACTTGATTCTGGACGCTTACAACTTTGACGACGTTGCACTCGTAAGCAGTCTTATCCAACTAGAGAATACTGAAGTTAATCTTGCTTAGAACGCTGAGAAAGATGTCCTTGTAGCTTTCACTGTACGTCTGTGCGCTCGTTACGCTGATAACGTCTATCTCATTCTTTCATTTCCAAGGCGCCGTGGTGCGGTCACTGCAAAGCGATGAAACCGGCATACGAGAAAGGTTTGTGTCGTATCCATTGACGATATGCCATCTCTGAACATATCTGCAGTCGCTGCGGCTTTCAAGCCCGAGAGCAACGTGGGTTGGGCAACATTCAGGTTGTATTTGGCATTGAACACACACAGTGCGTCGTGGCCAACGTCGACGGTGACGACCAAAAGAACAAAGATCTCGCCACAAAATACGGTGTCAGCGGCTTCCCCACTATCAAATTCTTCCCCAAAGGCTCTTCTGTGCCTGAAGCTTATGACGGTGGCCGCTCTGAGGCAGACTTCGTGAAGTTCCTCAACGAGAAATGTGGTACTGCGCGGGCTGTCGGGGGTGGGCTCACAGATCAAGTATGTGGTGATTCAGGCTATTTCATATCAGCCATCTTCATGAGTTCGTTTAGGCTGGCCGGCTTCCTGCCTTTGATGCTCTCGCTGCCAAGTTCTTCGCGGGTGCTGCTGACGTCAAGGCCTCCGTGTTTGACGAGGCTACTGCTCTTGCCGCAACGGCTGGCATCGCATCTAAGCATTACCTGCGGGTCATGGAGAAGATCGTTAACGGAACGGAGGGCTACTTGGAGAAAGAGGTCAAGCGGTGCGTCGTGGCAGATTTCCAGGCTTTCTGCAGATGTCCCTGACATGTTGTCGTTTTGTTTCACAGGCTAGAATCGATCCTGAAGAAGCGGAACCTCGCGCCAGCCAAGCTGGATGAGATCAAGATCAAGTCCAACATTCTGCAAGCATTCAGTGCAAAGAGTGAGGAAGACTCTGAGATAAAGCGAGACACCGCGGAGTTGTGATAACACAGCTGTTATGTATTTCGGATTATTTCGTGTCTATGATACCTCGACGTACGAGACTGGGCGCAAATGGCATTAGACCGGCAATCGCCGCCAGACGCCCCAAAAGCATGAGGTGAGACAATTTTGTTTGTGCGCCAACCGCCTCGTGTTCGGGAAGAAGTACTCGTGACGTTCCCTTGGATTGTTCGAGCCGTGGCTCAAGGCCCGAATGTGTATCAGATTCCTTCTATCGCGATCGATGGTCCTCACCCCGCCACACAACGTCGTCGCTTAAAAGTAGGCGCTCGACCTCCTTGACGCCCAATTCCTGTGCCCTGTGCCACCGTGTCTCCATGTCCTCCAAAATGTTTCTCTCCGACGATCCCCACGGTCCTGTCATACCCAATCCTCTGCGCCAGATTCGCATGTGCCGTTGGCGCCATTCGCGCCAGAAATGGCACCGCTTAACGACTAAACACGCTTATGGAGGGGAGAGCGAAGCTGCTCCTTCTGATATCGAGATCGTGACCTGGAACGTCGACTTTAATACGCCCATGGCTGAGGTGCGGATGAATGCGGCGCTGGACCACCTGGAAAAAGAGGTCTTCCAGTGCCAGGATGGAGAGGCTCCGAATCCTTGCGTGATTCTGTTACAAGAAGTCCATGTCGTCCACGGCCTCAACGCGATTCTGGGAAATAGCTGGGTCCAAGAACACTTTTTGGTCACACCAACCGACACGAGTAAATGGCCGCTTGATGCGCAGTATGGGAATGTGACGTTGGTGGAAAAGTCGATTCCGGTCGAGGACGCGCACATCCTCGAGTTTGGATCATCCGACATGGGACGCACAGGTGTGATCGTGGACATCAAGCTAAGCGCACCGGCAAAGGAACGCGAACCGATCTTCCGCATCATTAATACACATCTGGAGTCGCTGGCATCGGGGGATGGCGTGCGTCCAGAGCAAATGAAGTTGTTATCCAAGTTTTTGAAAGTGAGTCACGCGTCGTGGCCCATGATTTGTGCTGACGTGACCTGAAGGGGCCGCAAATTCGCGGGGGCATCATTTGTGGCGACATGAATCCAATTGGCGCTGCAGATGCAGGCTGCCCTGCGGCATTGGGCTTGCGCGACGCATGGCGCAAGGGTGATCAAGACGAGGAGGGATTCACCTGGGGTGAGCAGCCCGAACACGCCATCTATCCTCCAGCGCGCTTTGACAAGGTGTTATATCTTGGGCGGAAAGGATACCGAGTCGAGGAGCCTGAAAGAATTGGAGTCGGGCTGCAGGCTTTTCACGAGCGATTGCCCCGAAATATCTTTGTGAGCGATCACTGCGGACTTTTCACCAAGCTACATGTCCTGCGGTGAACGGCATTTTAGCCGGTTCTCGGTGGAGCTCTGGAGGTCGTCCACGACAACAGCCCTCGTGCTTCTTTTGTGATGTGATGGTTCTTTATCTTTAGCTGTGTGCTGTGCTCTGTACTCCTGTATTGTTGGTGTATGTTTTCTTGTATTCAAGGGGTTCCTGTATAGAGCCTGTGGAAGGGCGAGTAGAGAGCCGTTCGTCTCAAAGAAGGAACGTAAGAATAACCTTCTGTGGTTGTGATGTCAATCTTGACAGGCTGAATAGGAGACTCTCGTGCGTTGAGCCGGCTGATCCGAATATATAAGCTGCCAGTGGAGATTGGACAACAACTTTGTTTGCATCAACTCCCATCCCTCTTTTCCTCCCCATCGCAACCATGAAGTCTTTCGCCCTCGCCGCCGCCTTCCTCGCCGCTCGCGCTGCTGCGCAGATGACCATCAACACCCGTACGTTCATGCTACTGTCGCTCAACTATCTCGATTTTGAGAATTCTCGCAGCACCACCGGTGGTAACCCAGGGACTGGTAAGCCAGCCTGCGCGTCAGCTTTCAAGCCACTGTCCTAAACCCCTTCCCAGCCGAATGCCAGCCTCAGCTCATCTCCTGGTCTGGAGGAACCCGTGAGTGTTCCCATCGTTCCTTGCTTGCTCTTATTCTAAACTTTCCACAAGCTCCCTACTTCGTTGTAAGTTTCATCATAGTCAATGATCTTGGGTTGTCATCAAAGTTTTCTAGACGTATGTGGCACCGGTTCCGCAGCTTATTTGTGCTTATGTGCTTTGAAGCGTCGCCACTGTCCCCGCTGGCGCCACCCCTCTCGCTCAATGGAACGGTGTCACTGTGACCCAGGAGACCTGGACTGTCAATGCCACAGTCGGTATGTGCACAACCCTCGTCCTGGAATTTTGACTGAGTGCATGCAGGAACTCAACTGCTCTTGGGCCTCAAGGACAGCACCGGTGCCTCTGCTAACAGCGCCTCGTTCCCTGTTCTCACCGGCAGTAAGTGTTACTGCGAGTGCCATCCGCGTGTCAGCTCTGATACTATTTTTAGGTGGTGATGGATGTCTCAATGGCGGTAAGAGTTTTCTCGAATCACAGCGAACCCGTATCTCACGTAAACAGCTGCTGCCTCTTCCCCTGCTGCAGGAAGCACCACCGCAGGATCAACCGGCACTACGGCAGCAGCTGGCGCTTCTACGGCCGCTGGGGCCACGACTGCCGCTGGGGCCACGACTGCCGCTGCCGCTTCCGGTGGAAGCACCGTGGCACACGTTTCGTCGGCGTGCGTTGGGCTTTATTTCTTGTCCCGAATGATCGCTAACGCTTTTCACAGCGTGAGCTCCCATGCTTCCGGTAGCGCGACAGGCTCCAGTGCCGCAAAGGCGACTAGCGGCGCTGCTGCTCTCGCCCCCTCTCTGCTTTCGCCGCATTTGTTGGTGCCTCCGTCATGGCCATCCTGGCTTGATTGGCCTGACTGGACACCACCCCACCCATGCACACCCGAAAACACACGTTTCACGCACCTCTTTCTGGTCTCCAACAGCCTTAGAGCTATCGTCATTCTCTTTGCCCCGTACTTCTACCCTCGCACGGACAGCCATCTCTCTAATACATCACTTTGCATCAGACACCATATCCTTATGTTCCTATACCATGACAATGTGTGTTTTGTGTGTGCAGTGAATGGGAGGAACAGTTGTCCTAAGTAACAATCATACTACACGGGCGCCGCCAGCTGACCCACAGGTTCAAGTAGCCGCATTCCTGCGGGTCCTGCTCCATCACTCGATCGCGGGCTTCTTGAACATATGTCCGCATCAACCAACCGCTCGGTGAGATTCTGGCCGTACTTGGCTGAAACAGGGACAATGTCCAGATGACGCCCTTCTCCAGTGACCATCCTGTCAGACACAATCGTT